GTGGCATTTATCAACCTACAGAGGACTCTTGTGATCTGTAGACGTCATGGAATACGAAACATCTGGAAAATGGCGGGGTCAAAAAAATCGTCCAAAAAAAGTATGGGCTATAAGCTCATGGTTTTTGCCGAAATTGGCCAATTTTTAACATGGTCGTTTTTCCCAGATTCGGCCACATGGGCCTAATTGAGTATCATCCGATTTATCGTTGTTTAATCTTAAAACTATAGGCTTTAAGTGGCATTTATCAACCTGCAGAGGACCCTCGTGATCTGTAGGTGTCATGGGATACGAAACATCTGGAAAATGGCGGGGTCCAAAAAAGTATGGGCTATAGCTCATGGTTTTTACCAAAATTGGCCTATTTTTAACATGGTCGTTTTTCCCAGATTCGGCCACATGGGCCTAATTGAGTATCATCCAATTTATCGTTGTCTAATCTTAAAACTATAGGCTTTAAGTGGCATTTATCAACCTGCAGAGGACGCTCGTAATCTGTAGACACATAAGGAAATACAAGAAGCCTGTGAACAGGCTTTGATTAAAGTCAACAGTAACCAGGGTCGTCGGAAGCTATTTTTATTGGTCCGGCTAAATATAGTACATAATCATCATTGCATTAACATGACTTCTTTTCATTAGTTTTGTATTTGTCTATAGCTCAATAGCTATATTCTATTATATCAATCATTCATACTGTACTAAATATATCATTTAACCATTCATGCTTTATCATTTATATTTGTCACCATGGGATTTCATATTTTAACGTACGTACAAGTAATAGTAGTTAAACATTGCTTTAACAGTAGAAATGATATATTTAAAAATGATGTTTTAGAGTAGACGATGTAATACCATACGGCGTGCTCAGTATGTTGCAAAAATACTGTAAAATTTACACGTATCGCCTCGAACCACCAGGGCCATAGCTCAGCTGCGAGTTGTATGCATGTATATTGGGTGGCCTTGGCCATTTAATAGTAATTTATTTTAATCAAAAAAGTGTAAATCAATCAGTTGAATTGATTAATAAGTGTTTATCAGTTAATAAGTATCTAATCAAAATTGCTGATTGTTCCTGGCGTTTGTCCTACTACTCTGACCGGGACTGTTGTGGGGCCTGAGTGGAATCCCTGTAGAAACGTACAGTAACTTATCCACCCAAAGTTGATTCCCCTGATTCTTAGTGCTCTATTGAGTACGCATCACCTGTTAGATCTGTCCATTATGATGGGCATACCAACATACATGGTCCTCCTGCCATTAATAAACCAAAAGTTTACTAAATAATAATACTAAATAATACCGGTATTCTAGCAGTTTCTTATTTGAAAATCTAACGTATTCACCTAGCTTAATTCGAAAGACATTTACAGTACAGTGATAGGTTTACTAAATAATTCATAGCATATTGTACCCTGTGTATTCATAACACATGTTAATTTAATTGGGCCACTTCTTTGTATATGAATTTCACAACATCCGTCAACTTGTATAAATATAATACGCGCACATTCATTATTATTCATATTGCATTATACGGTAATATAATTTTGTTCCTGTTTCATGCACTTTATTTATTCATGGAGGAATATTCATACTGTATCCCGTGTATACATAACACGTTTTATTTAATTAGCATGCTGTCATTATTTTATAGCAAAATGCTTGGTTTTTATAGTTTTAACCTTTACTAGAATGGCTGGTCTGTTTCTGAAATACACATAGTAAATTTTAAACAGTTTTAAACAGTGAATTTTATTTTGACTGTTTAATACTTTACTATTTTAAATTGTTAATATCTTATTATTTCTCGTCATTGCAAAGTTTTGTCGTGTGATGATTTTTAATGTAATTTTTTATCCTTCCTAACCAAGACTGTTGCAAAGAAAAAAAATTATTATTTTAAAATGGACAATAAAGTTTTCTTGAATCTTTTTTATATTTTGTATTTCAGCATCCGTCAAATGAAAAAAATATAATAGACCTATAGTCATTGTTAATCATATTGCATTATATATTGCGTTCGTGTTTTTTGCACTTTATTTATTCATTCATTGAGGAATAAGCATCTTATTTCATATAATTATGGAATTGATAAGAAATTTTGAACAATTTATTTTTATGTAATTTTTGCAATACACTGTCTTTCATTTTATTTAAAAAACTAATTATGATTTGGTCATTATTTTTTTTTTTTTTTTTATATATATATAGCATTCTTAACCTATGTGATGACTGTACTCTCGAAAAAGAGCCCATCGGAACCTAGTTTTACCACTGGGAAGTGGCAGGTTCGAGGGAGGTCCCAGTCGGCCCCCTTCAAATTTGAATGTGCAAGTTATGTTTGATTGCGTCAGAGAAAGTAGAATTTGTCTTACAAACGATAATTAAGTTGTAAATTATTGGTCCGGCCAAAACCGGACCAGCCGGACCGCTTCTGACGCCCTTGATATTTGTTGGAAACAAAACTAATTATGTAGGCCTGTATAATGAAAACTTGTTTAATTAGATATAGGCCTACAGTATAATTTTGTTAAATAATGCATGTACATTTGGTGCCTCGAAATTTTTATATGGTGATATATTTGTATGCTTCAATCATGTCTATCATATTTCTTTCTGTAAGTGATAGTGTCGCCTAAGAACAGAGGCTTAAGCACTTTCTCTTTACCTTTTCTAAACGATTTATATCTTATTTAGTTGTTGGCGTCCAAACAACCAACCCATATTCTAACAGGGACGTCTCCAGAGGGAGCCACCACCCTTTGTATACAGTACGGTACGGTATTACTTGTTAGAAAATACAAATTCGTTCCTGGTATCACTCAAAATGAATACTTCTAAACTATATAAATATGTATCAGTACACATTACTGCATAGTCCTAATTAATATGTGTGATGTACTGTACCATAAAAAAAAATGTCTTTGATGTAAATACTTTACCTATTTCAAAGCCATGAGAGAACACACCCACCTCAGACATCGTGGTTGGGGCTGAGGTGCGAACATCGTAGGAAATAGTACCTTTAGATCCGGAAATATAGTGAAATTCGTCATCATCACATCAGTCATCATCACAACATACATAGTGATCAGAATTATCAATGAAAATTGATAAATTTGATGCGATTCCACGTATGTTATAGAATTCTATTCTATTATACAATTCTATATATATATAAATTCAACTTAATGACTTAATGATGGTTGTTAATGCTTTAACAACTTCTTAAAGGAAAACAGTAATAGGGCCAACAATTCTTTCAATAATTGTAATCTGACCATAACTTGGTATTATTGTACCACCATTTTGCCACCACCAGCTGGGAAAGTAATTAAATATGCATACTTGTCAATTGATTGCCAACATGCCAACGCTTAGTGGATACTGTATAATGCTTTGGTGAACGGATAAAAAGCGTAACTGGCATAAAAATTTCATATTTCGAAAAATTGTTTATATGATCACTTACCATGACAGATTACATCCACAAGGTGGCCCTAAGCCAAAATCTCAAATGGATAAATTGCACTTTTCTGAATCACAACAGGCTGAGTAGATTAGGCCTAATCTTTAAGACTTCAAAGCACAGAAAAACACCAATTTATATTCAGCACATTCTCGAAAATGTTGCCCTTATCAAATTTGGTTGAATGCATCATACATACCCTTCGCAAAATCCCACTTAATTGATATATGTATACGGGCCCAGAAACTTTTATTTGCCAATTAATACAGTATCATACACTAGCTTATTTCTCAGTATTTTTCAATTCTTTTTTTCCACTTGCAACGCTGTTCACATACCACTCATGTCGTTGCTCTTCTTCCGATTCCGTATCTATTTTCAGTCTCTCACTGCCCGGTGGTCATTTTTGACTTTCTTTTTAGATGTAACTGTATCAAAGTGTTTTGGTAAGTTTAAGGTCTACAATTAGACTACCCACTCCATTAAAGACCTGCATACGTTAAACTAATGAAATAATTCATTAATTGAGAAATAATAATTAAAACAGGTTTTCGCTTTAGTGTAATTTTGGAAAAACATAATAAAATTATATATGCTTTTCAATAAGGTTAGGAGAATCAACGGACATATACGTATATCCTCCCTGCAATTGATTAACCATACGTTAAACTAATGAAATAATTCATTAATTAAACTAATGAAATAATTCATTAATTGAGAAATAAAATGAAATAATTCATTAATTGAGAAATAATAATTAAAACAGGTTTTCGCTTTAGTGTAATTTTGGAAGAACATAATAAAATTATATATGCTTTTCAATAAGGTTAGGAGAATCAACGCACATATACGTATATCCTCCCTGCAATTGATTTTGATTAACCATACATGTGACATAAATCAAAATAACAACAACAATAATACTAATAATAATAATAATAACAAAAATAATAAAAACTCAACAGAGAATACGTTATCAAAGTAGTAGTATTAATACTTAGACAATGAAAAAATTATTGCATTTATTTTGTCTATATTTTTGTCCTTGGTTTAGGGAGGTGGCATTTCTGACGGAAGGAGCTGGAAATTCTAGACCACCAGGCACTGCAATTTAAAAATATATTTTGTCTCTCTCTCTCTCTCTCTGACCTTCGCGCCGGGGAACGGTGCGAAGGTCTGGATCCACACTGTCTCACCCCACCCCCACATCGACACCAGATCCCCTAACCCTTGCTTAGTGGCACCTAAATAGGAAGACTAGCCACCACAGCTATTTATTTTATGCACATGTAAGGAAAACAATAATTTTCTCAAAAACGAAGCCAAATGTAGGGCCATTACAAATTATGGGCTTTTAAATGTCCATCAAATACTGTACTGTCTTTTCCAGCTTTCATAGTAGGTCTAGCTTCATTTCAAAAGTAAGACGAATATGCCCTGTTTTTCGATCGTATGTGCGAATATACGGTATACTGTATTATCCTTCTGCATCCTTGTCAACAATAAAGTGAGTAACACATTATTCAGATAAGTTTCACCCATTTAATAACATACTTTACAAATGTGTGCAAAGGCCTCTATTTTACAACTGCATTTCGTTTCTACATTTAAATTCTCGTACATATTTAAAAAAGACAGACACAGTACAAATCTTTAAATAATTTTCAGTAATATATTAATAAAGAAAAATAGCAAATGACAACAACAATAATAATTTATAATATTAATAATTAACAAGAATATGACAGAATTTTCAATAAAGATGATTAATACTTGTTTTCACAAGTTAATACAGAGCCATTTTAAATGGTGGTTTTTGAGGGAAGGCAAGACTTTTCTTTAAACTTTGTTTAGCAAATCTGCCACCCGGCAATAATGATTTCAAATAAAATTAAAAAATTTTATTTTTTGCCAATTATGTAAACCAAGAGAAGTAGCATTACATGGGGGAAGGGGACCTTATTTAAACTTGGACATTTTCAAATATGCTTCCTCTCTAGCATAGACCCCTTTTGCAAATGTGCTGTGGAAAGGGGCATCCCCGTCCCAACTAGCTGGATCTACCGCTGAGCAGATAGAGTGGTGTGGATTGTACGCAGGTACACACATAAAAAAAAAAAAATTCAATGCATACGTTCATGAGTTTTGTGCCGGTTTATGGAGGTAAGATTTCCAAACAGAAGATTTACATAATGTTATTAAATCCTTGAGAAATATAATTCAAAATAAGATGGTACAATATTAATCACAGAGTTTATGGTGGACAGAAATCAAGAAAAGTAGTAATGAAATTAAATTATGCAGATTGAAGATGGTATTGTACATCCTAAATAGTAATAGTTTCCGAGAACAATTTGTAGTGTCCTGGACAAAGGGACATTATTATGCACAATTTTAATATTCGTAATTTGTCTTAAATTTTCGTAGAATGTCGTTAACATGCAATATGGTGTTTAAACAAATTAATGAATACACACCTAGTCAATACTGATGCATGGGTTAATCAGGGCTGCCAAGCGCGTGCCAGGCCCAACGGCAGGGGTGCGGAGACACAGCCTGCCCTGGGCCTTTAGCAGGGGCCTGGAGGCAGACCACAGCCCATATGGGAGTAAAGGTGTTTTTGTAATTAGAAGCTTCATTTAAACGAGTAGAGAGTAGATCTGGGGAAGTTAGATGATTGATGCCAAAAAGTTTCAAAACTGTTTATAGGATATTTTTATTTTATTTTTTTATTTGTGAGGAAAAAACGGTCAGTGAAACAAGGTATTACATGAATGAGCTGGAACAATTAAGGACAAATATATATTAACAGCATGTGTATCCATTTTAAAACCTAAAATTGCAAATGCAACACTGACAGCAATTTGAAATATAAGTGCTGTTTTTGGAAAATGGCAAAAAACAGGAAATAAAACCTTGTTATTCAAATATGACGAACTGCGTCAAATCAACATCGCGTGGAACACAGTGCAAGACAACGAACTTACTGGAGTGTTAATTAACCTTAAAAACTGACCAATCATAAACAGAGCTAAGAATGCATGCATGCCACACAAGTCTACATGCATTTACGCCGTCGTTTTTGGGACATTAACAATACCCAACTGTTGTATGCCCATATATAGTCATGATGTGCCTATATATAGTCATGACGTGATGTCATCATGACTATATATAGGCATATTACACGCTTTTGTCATATATTTGATAGTTTGGACAGGCCTTTAGTGAAAAGGTCCACTTAGAAAGAATGACACGCTTGAATGGAAGACAAGGAGATGGGCAAGAGCAAGAGGGGAGAGACTATCTATATGCTTATGGTCACTTGGGTAACTTATTATAGGCTGAGGTATGCAAAACTAAAAACATATCCCAGTCTGAATCCAGCACTGGGTAAACTATTTCTCACAATATTATTTTTTTAAAAGTTGGAAATAATGACTGAAGTTTCTTTTATTGGGTTGGTACATCCTAAAGTGTTCGAGGTAAGCTCTGTAAAAACACTGATTGAGCTAATAAACACGTACTGCACCCACACCAACGCCATAACGTTTTATATAGAGAACATCTCAAAAAATGGATTATTGTCAATAGTATCTGTGTACATGTTTAAATAGGCTTCCTAAAAGAATATGTGTTTACTGTTACTTTAAAATGATATGTAATCTAAATTTGTTCATCTAGAAAAAAACCCAAAATTGCACATGTGTATGTTATCATTTTTGGAAAAAATACATCCTTCAATTTCTATACTTACAAAAACAAAATTCTACATTGTTGCACCTGTGTGTGTTTGTTAGACTTCATTAATCATCCCATTCTTAGTTTGTTTTTAATCAAGTTCTTTTATTCACATCATTTCTCACTGATTTTTCAAAAAGATAAAAATAATCTTTAAAAAAATAATGAATGAAGAAAGTTTAGACAATGTTACTTGATTATTATTTAATTTAATATAGAATAAAGTTAAGCAAAATTGACGACTTGCTCAATGCGTTTGCTAATATGTAATATTATTTTTTTTAAAATATCATACAATGATAATACCGTAGATTTTAACCAAGCTCGCTGAAAAAAGGGAACACTATTTTTCTTGGTGTATCCTCCATTTCTTATGGGGGACAAAAAGTAGAATATTAAAGGTGATATACGGTAAAAGAAATTAGGTCATTAGATAACGTTTTAAGCCAGTTTTAATATATGCCCCGAGGGCATTCTTTCAGCGGCCCTGAATAACTCTCTACTATAGCTTTTGAATTTTTCTTTTTATTCAACTGGGAGGAAAACTATTTTGAATATAAATCTAGTGCTGACTTGTCCTTCTTTACCTTTGACACTGTTACCACGGTAACCCCAAAGAAACTATACACACTATTTTCATCATGAAATTTCATTGATTGCACCTTTGAAAAAATTTCCGTTAAATTTTAAACTATAATATAACAAGTTATACTCCTCTAAATTTTTTGAGACTTCTGACTGATGTTCAAATAAATCAGAACGAACAACCAGGCAGAGTAGGTTTCAATGCCATTTTCATTAAATTAATCAGCGTTGTGTCTATTTTCAGACTGCCCATTATGTAATAGGCAACTGTTTTCCTTAGATTTTGATTCGTAATAAAAAACTGATCCACCACACATCAATGCAACATGCTATTTTCTCGTCGAAATTGACACGGATGTCAGAAACCGATTTTTCCTGCTACCGTGCGTAAAGGGTGTCATCACGGATTTGCCACCCTTGAGCAGGAATTTTACAGCGACTTCTGCACATTTTCGTGTGACACCATACCATTTTAATACCCGCACACTCATGCTTGGTACGTGTAGTGCATCATTTCATCAATGGCACGGCACCATTCCAGTGCATATCCTTCCGGATCAATCAGGTAGTAGGTCCTATTTGGCTGGAATCAAAAAGATGACAAAAGGTTGTTTTATATTTATTTGTGGCTGAGAAGGCCAGATGCCTATCTAGAGTCTTGAAATGGGAAAATGCCGTGAAGGTTGGTGGGGGAGGGGGGAGGTGGCAGGCGGTGTAGGGCTTAATGATTAAGTGAGGCAGCGCTGGTCGCAAAATAAGGTGATATGGAGTGATTTGTACTTAAGCATGATTTTATGCTTCGAATATTTTCATTTGGGTGGGGGTGGGAACTGGGAGAGCGATGTTTTTTAGGGAAGACGTGCGCCACCCCGCGCATCCCCATAAATACGTCACTGGAGAAAGAGCCCAGGTTGAAATTGACTTAGCTGGCTACCACTAGTGTAATATAGGATTAAAGTATTATTAATATCATTCATAATTTTTTTGAGGAGTGGTGCTCTCATTTCTGTGTGCCACCTTTGTATAAATCAATTTCATAATTATTCATGAATTCAGTCATTTGTCCAATCAAAGCCAGTATACGGTATGGTAATAATTATTACTTTAATGTTATTCAAACAACATGGTACAAATAAAATTTGAAATAATTAAGTAAGAACCACTCACCGTGTGTACAAAGAAAGTCTTGAAATTCTTAGCTTCAACTTTCAAGGTCCTGGACCATGGGATCTCCCCTTTGAGAACCATGTTTTCTGGATCCACGTAATACAAATGAGGGCCTTCTGTTAACAATAACTGCCGCCTCCGTGCAAACAGACCCTGAAAAATGTGATGTCAATGTATCATAACAAACCATAGAAGCGCAAAATGAAAATGGTAATGATGGGGGTGGCTGTGGTGTTAGTGACGATGATGAGGATGATGGTGGTGGGTGATGATGACGAAGGTGGAAATGATGATGGTGATTATGATAAGGCCAAATAAAATAAATTGTTTGTTTGCCCGTCTTTTTAAAAAAATGATAAATAGGGCGGGTGAAAAAAGCTTTATTTTTTTATTTATTTATTTTTTTTAAATACTCATCAGATGGAATAAATATAACTCGGAGGCCTAGAATGGCAATATCTTACATCAGACAACAACTTTAGACTAATTTGTAGGGCATCTGGCAAAAATTTTTTTTAAAGTTTTTTTGTTTTTCCGCCCTTATTTTTTTTTCAGTGAGTTAGGGGGCGCGTGGATGAGGGCAAACAAACAATTTTTTTTGTTGGCCTAATGATGTTAGTGTTGGTGGTGATGATCATGATCATGGAGAAAAACGATGATGGTGAAGATGATGATACTGATGTTGGTGGTGATAATGATGATGGAGAATAATGATGATGGTGAAGACGATGATGATGTTGAAGACGATGATAATGATGTTGGTGGTAACGATGATGGAGAATAATAATGATGAAAATGATAGTGGTGCTGATGATGGTGATAATCATAATACATGATGAAGATTAATAATGATAATAATATGAAAATGCTGATCAAAATGATAATAATGAAGGTGATTGGTATGACAATAAAGATGATAATGATTTTGAAATTGAAAATAATTATAGTAATAACAAAAAAAATAGTAACCAAAAAAAAAAAAAAAAATTAACAACAATGTTAAATGTATATAGCGCAAAATGCTGGAACTTTGATGCTCTAGACATGCACCAATATAATTCTTTTACATATTATTAAAGCAAATGTTGGAAAATATGTATATTAATTATGACGATATCAATGAACATAATTACCATTAAGTTGAAATTAATAAAAATCACAATGATTAAACAACGATAACACATGTAATACACAGAAGATTATCAATATTATTAACAAAGCAAATGTATAATTAATCTACTTATAGAAATAAAAAATAAATTATTCAAATTGAGACAGGTGTAACTTCTAGTTTGAATCATTATGATGGTCTTCAATTTCCTACTTCCATTTGCATCTCTTGTATAATTTATTATTCTTGTACTTAAAAAAAGAATTAAATAAGATAATCTATGTGAATGGTCATACCTTCCTTTTATCTACCAGGCCCATCTTCAAGATTAGGTTTCCCTCCACAAATTGATGCCATTTCACATCTTTTTCTTGTTTGCTTAGCAAATGAGCACGCTCCTCACTTGAGTGGTCTAGAACGTACTTCTTAGAGTGTGTCTTTTCATTCTCTGTTTCGTTTGTGTTTATTTTTTCAAAAACATCTGATAGACTATTTGGTGTTAATATATTAAAATCATCAACCTGAAAAATAATAGTTAAATAAATAAAGATTGTAAAACATAGATGATATAACTGAATATAAAGTGGTCTACTGGCTTAAATTGTTCAGATTCAAAAAAGTTTGAAGTTTAGAGAAATTTTATTGCAAACAGTCAAACAAGGTGAAATTGAAAACAACTGTAGTTCTTGTTCATGAGTACAAAAAAACAGGCACAAAATTAAAAGGTGAATATATAAGTCATATAAGCTATATGTTAACGACATCATAACAGATGTAAAATACAGATACAGCAGAGGCCCATAAAAAGCACAAAATATTATTTACCATACTGTAAGGAAAAATATTGAAAACAACATCATTCAACATTTTCAGATAATTTTTCACACTTAATATTATGTATTCAAAACTAGTCCACTTAATTTGGCATATAGAGTACAGTCGTGTCGTCACAACACCAGGTGGCACCCTTTGGACGTTGGATACCGTTCATTACGCGTGAATGACTTCATAATCTTAATGGTTTAGAATAGGCTTTCTGGAATAGGCATTTTAAAACCTAATAATTTACCATCAAAATGTACTAAAAACACAAAAAGCTCCTAACACACATTTAATCAATTAACATTTACAAAGAAAAATTAAGATACAACTTTTTAATAATTAAGTTAGAAATTTGGATCAATGGTTTGTAGATACAGAAAATGGCATCGGTTGAACTCGGAGTAGTATCACATGGTATCGTGATGTAACACTGCAGTACTATATAGCCAATATTCTTGTTTGAAGGAGATTGTGTTTATTGTTATTATTCATGTATTAATTGCCTGCAGTGTTATTCTTAGGAAGGATTAAGCGTTATTAATAGTATACAAATTAGTGAATGGTAATAAATACAAGCTTGCTTTGCTTCGAATGCAGTTAACCTAAATTTAGAAGTATAAAGTACAACCAGTTTTTGCATTCAACAATGGAAAAAATAATAAAAATTGTTATAAATTAGAACTGTATGGGAAGAAAGGAAATGCAGAATTTAAAACATAATGGGCATATTCGACTGGTTCATTTTGTTGACTACAAATTTTTGTTGAGTATTATTTTCATTCGACTGGTTCGTAAAAGACTTCATTGACAACGAAAATTAACGTAAACCAGAGTGCGTTAATCAGCGTTAAGTTATTCACTTGACCAAAACAAACATGGCCGATTGGTGAGTTTAGAAACAACATTTGCGTTAATATAACTTGGATTAAATTTCAGAAAATAGAAATTATAATATTTACCCACATGAAGTCAAAAAATAATTGTAGTGATAACAAAATTCAAAAACTGGAGGAAAATCATTTTGTGGAACCTTAGCAACAATATCCAGGGGCGGGGCTTAGCAGGAAGGTGTGTCAAAGTTCAATACAACTAATTCCATTAAAAAACATTTGCAAGGATTCACTTACGTAATAATCACTATGTATTTCTTCGCCATCTAACATTGTGAAAGGTTTAAGAGCGGGAGGTGTTTGTTTGTGGATGTTGTCCCAATCTACACCTTGAAAAAATGGGTGAGCCTTCAATTTGGGGTAACCGCCACACTCATCACACCCTAACCTCTTCTTGGGATCAATAACCTGTGAAAAAAAAAAATAATCATAATAATAAGCTCTGTCTCCACTTTTAAGTCCTGTACAGACTTCCAAATTTTATTTGACAAAAACATGCGACAATCCATGCCTAAATAAGGTCATGATGGCATCACATAATGACCATATATAGGCATATCATGACTAATATGGCATTTAAAATACCTGTGATTTGCCAATATATGGATATGACAAGACATCATCATGTCAATATATGTTGTATGTTGACAGCCTAAACCTTTTTTCAATTATTTATTGTCACAATGAAGGATTTGAAGAACAGTACCATCAAATATACAGATGCATTTATGCAAAAAAAAAAAAAATTTATACAGCCTTTGAATACTTTTAGCAAATCATGATGAAATCTATCCCAATTTCAAGTTACTATTTATGTAATACTATAGCTATCAAGTATATTTTTACAATCATTCAATCAATTCAAGTGAATTTAATTCCCCTTTTTCGCTCTCTGGAAATACAACGTAATACTATCATAATAAGTTTTTTCAAACAATTCTCTTCATTGTGAAGCAAAATTTAAGACTTTTTGTATGTTTTCATACCAATATTAAAAGTGTTTATTTAATAAACAACAAAAATCCAATCTACATTTGAATAGTATTACAAAATATGGATTCTGCATTATTCTCTTTACAATTTTTTAATCAAAATATTTTGTACTACTAAGTCCGGTTATGTAAGATAACATACATGACATTTCGGAAGAGGGTATAAAAAAAATGTATAAATGTCAAATGGTGAAATTAAGAAATGTGAAGACTGTTATTGTTAATCCTCTTAAATTATATTCTTAACCACTTGAACTTGTCAGCAATACAGATCTTTCGCTATCTCGTTCGGGAACGCGCCAACATGAAAACAATTTTTTTGTATCACGTACACTTAATGCGAACGATTGAATGTATTTCATTTATTTCAGTGGCATCTGATTATAATCTGATTATATTATACCACATGATTACATAATGATATATTGAGCCAATCAGCATTTGGACCTAATAATCCCACCATTAAAAAAAAAAAAATTAGGTGAACTAGAGACAGCCTAGTATCCCCACCTCCTTGAATTTGCAATTGCTCTACGCATCTAGAGAGTGACAGATGACTGATTGATTGACTGTTTTATGATTTGTTAATTAGAGGTAACAGACAATTTTTTTGTATTAGTTACGTTCGGGGATTTAGCCAGAAAAACGAAATAGGACGTCCAAAATGGAAGCCAGTGGGCGTGGCACGGAGCCGATGGGCGGGCCACACCCATTTTTGGGAATCATCACCGAATATTGGTACGAAAACAATGTAAATTCAATCAATAAATGTTGTTTTTATCAAACGTAAATATGATTTGGCTTTAGATTAATGTAACATTCATTAGATTTGAATTTGCTATGGGTAGAACAGGCCAAATTAGGCTAGGTCAAGTCTATGGTTACGTTATCAAACCACTTACCAATAATTTTTGTACTAAATCCCTAGCCTTCTCTGGAAACCCATCTGGAAACACATATTCTAATTTTAGAATTTTCTGGAAAATTAGATACTCTGTTCTAAAAAACAAAAACATTTGGCATGACAAAAGAATAAAGAAAATCAACTTCTGACATGCTTATTAGCATTTCGCTTATTATCTATAGATGTTATTATCTATCCATGTATGTTAATTTAATCTTAGGTTATGTAAACACAATCAAGTGGCATACACAATTTTTAACATTTCACTTTCAACTGTGTATACAGGTTTCCCTCTAATTAAAAACCCCTCCAATTAAAGACCACTTTTCTTTGGTCCAATATTAACAAATGTATTTTATCTTTATTATTGTAATTAGAGGCCAAAGCTACTAAAGACCATGAAAGTCCCAGTCCCAAAAGTGGAGGGAGACCTGTATTTACAGTCATAACCAGAAGTATATTTCTAGCTTAGCTGTGTTTTATCACCTATCATATTCACTATAAATACATTATTTATTATGTAACATTTTAATTTAGAAAAATATATAACTTACCCTGCCCTGAAAGGCGGCAAACCTGCCAGTAACTGGTAGATAATTGCTCCAAGTGCCCATAAATCAGAACTAAACATTAAAAGAAACACCAAATCAGTTTATTTACATTTATAAACTGCATACATAGATTCTAGGCATCTGATTGGTTAAGAAGCGGGCAATAGAAAATACCCCATGGGATAGTACTTTTTAGCCGTGCCGCACTACCTGCAATCTCTAGGCTGCGTGGGTATGTAGTTCATGACACGCACAGACGGTAAAGGAGACACGACCTCTAAGACGCTGAGAGAGATTGGCCCTTTGATCGCCTAGGCCTAGGAAGTAAGCCTAGGCCTACTGTACTTGGTGTGTTCTACTTTCATTATTTTTTTAGGTGTTCGTAGAATCTATGTATGAGGTACATAAAACAAATAGACTACTCTAGATTCAGGGGGAACAGTAAAATCTATAGCCCCAAGTAATATAGAGACAGTAGCCTATCTTCCCTTGGGGCAATAAATTTCACCATTTCTCTCATGAGCAACCAACTTTTTAACTTCCGTAAATTAATCTAGATGAGTTCATTATATAATCTGATGATTTCAGAGCTGTACCACTTATTACGACTGGTCTTTACGGGTCTTAATGCTTACCATTTACTGGCTGATTTTTCTACTCTCTCTGTTCTATTTGTTGTCAGGAGTTCGGGTGAGACATATTGAGCAGTTCCAACAAATGAATTTGCACGTACAATTCCTAAAATAAAAATTGTTCATTTCCAATATTGTCATCAATAATGATATCCAACCCATCACTGCCAACAAAGTCTTTGACGACACCACCACAACTTCTATCTATTATCATCATTGCCAACTAAGTCTTTGATACCAATACCACAACTTCCAAGATGATCATTGCCACATATCCTCCACTACAACTTCCACAAAGACTATAATTCCTACTAACATTTTTGATATGCTATACTTCCATATAGATCATCACTGCCAACAAAGTCTTTGACACGACTACAACAACTTCCATCAAGATCTTCATTGTCAACAAAGTCTTTGACACTACCACAGCTTCCACCAAGATGATCATTGCCACAAATAGCCTCCACCACTACTTCCACCAAGATCATAATTACTACTAACATTTTTGACATGGCTATCACAACTTCTATCTATGACCATCATTGCCACCAACATCTTTGATACTTCATCACCACTTTCATTGAGGAGATCAACCATTACTCTTCATCAGCATTATGACCATTATCATTGTCACCAGAAGCACCATCATCTTTGCTACCATCACTACTGTCATCATCAACACTGAAATCACTACCACAACCACCATCATCTTCAACATCCCATAATTTCATAGCAGCACCAACAATTACTTACCATCTGAACTATCAGCCTCTAGAATTTTTGCTGAACCAAAATCAGTAATTTGAATATGCCAGTCTTCATTCAATAATATATTTTCTGGTTTTAAATCCCTATATTAAAATGAAGTAGTAAAATAATTAAAATATGTTTTATTTAATATGTAAATTTATGTAAGATAAGGAGCAGTAAGTAATTCTGTATATGTATATGCCATGAAATTATGCATCTAGCAATGAAAATATAGTGAGAACCACTCCACAGCCTGTCAACAATGCAAGATGATGTATATACTGTAAGTACAACCAGCCGAGAATGGTCAACACGTGGTTCGAAGGTGAACACCTGACCACAAGTTCAACAACCAGAATGGAAATGCAACGCTGCTTTCCCTAATGAAAAATGGTTATCACTACGTCATAAAATGTGGAAGAGGTATTAACTTACCTATGAATGATGCCTAAGCTGTGCATGTGTTCTAGTGCTAGTATAATTTCTGCAGAATAGAATCGAGTCGTGCACTCATCAAACGACCCAACTTTATGTATGTAGGGTAACAACTCTCCACGTTTTGCCAAACTTAAACCAAAATCTAAGGCGTTAACTGTTAAGAAAACTTTACACACTCGTTAAGAACTATCTACATTTTGTTAAGCTCTCTCTACACTAATAGTAGACACATTAAGAACCATATAACAATAATTAAACATTACAAAAATAATACAAAAAATAATTATTTTTTCATAATTTTGAAAGGATACAAAGCCTATCCTTATCTTGAAAGGTGAAATACAACTTTACAAAAAACGGGTGATTTAAGCGTGTTAGAACGTCTCGCTCTCGCATCACATACTTCTGTTTATTCTCCCGGATCATCTGTCGCTTTAATAATACCTTAACTGTAACAAACATAAAAAAAAAGATTCAATTTTGCTCATATTCTTTTATTATCAAACTTTAACAAAACAAACATAAACAATGAAAACAAAGGGTACAATAATGAACAAGAAAGTGCAAAGGCCTGAACACAATATGAAGTTTGATGCGTCAATTACATGTTATATATGCCCATATACAGGTATGATATGACATCATCATTTCAATATATGGGTATAACATCCTTATGTACATAGATAGATCACACAAGAGATGATACTGTGAACTGACCTCATCAAATGTTGAATTTCCCTTTTTCAACTCAATTTACAAAAACTATACAAAATATATACATCATATGATTTTAATAAAATGATGTATAAAATCAATAATAAAAGTATAATATTAAACAAAAACTGTATTAATAATCACTATAAGGAGCTTATTTCATCAGATTTTGTGAATGCATACCATCATACAACATGAATCAGCAGATAATCGTCCAGTAAAAAGTGCAGTGTACTCTTTTAAGAAAAATGACAACTATGGTGCTATACTACAAATGACAACAACCACAACTTTATTATGTACACGTGTATATTATGTGGGAGGATGTTTTGCACTATCCTGAAAATGATTACCATAAATCAAAGAGAGTGATGGTATTGTGTAAATATTGTATCTGAAACAATTTCTTTCAAGTAAAACAAGTACATTTAGGTGTAAACTGTTCCAAATAAACAGCAAAAGCAAATTAAATTTTCAAAAATGAAATGTCATCTAGCCACATCTGAAACGAACTGAGAATTGTGCTCATCAGACAAAAAAAAAAAACACATTCCTCAAAATTATAACCGATATATTGAAGTTATCAGTTATTTGTAATAATAATGATTGATTGACAAATTACTAACATGGGAATAAAAAAAACTACGTCACACAAATACTACGGTATATTTCACTGCACGGTTGGTCGGTAATTTGATTGATGCAAAATACCACATGACAACAGCTAATTCCAAAGTATTAACAAAAATCATAATATAATCGAAACATAATCTCCAGTCTATCGACTATAAGTCTAGTAACAACCCTACTGACTGATGAATTATTATCAATAGCAATCAAGGTTTGAATTATTATCAAGTACTGTATATTATTATAAAGTGCAATATATACACAATATAAAACGAATAAAAGTGTTGCAAGTTACAATCACTTGTCAGTAATGGTCCCTTAGTGGGACTTGTGGCCATATACGTAAACCATGACGAAGATAAATTTACTTTCCCTTGCTGAGAATCACCAAGGTAAATTTCTCTAGAACCAATCCATATTTTTTCTTTAATAAAATGAATACTACTAAAATAAAGGATGATGTCAAAACCAGGCCTAACAACTGACTCCTATCAGGGCCTACTTAAAACTCATTATCTAATTCTAGCAAATATATATAAGTTTACTGTATATATACTCGCTTATAAGGTGATCCGAGTATGAGACGAGCCCACAGTTTGAGAAAATTTCTGGACAATTTTGGATGTCGTCATCAGTATTCCTACCTTTTCCTGCTCTTTATGGGCGGATACTGCATCTAGCTTGTTAAAACGGAGACAAATATAGGGCTAACCTTTCCAATATTATTAATTGCTTTTATTCATACTAAAACAGTTACAGACGATCCGCGAAACATTATTTAAATATAAATTACCTATTCAAATGATTAATAATAATAGAACAAAATAGACAAACAATTGTGAAAAATGTCAATATTAGTGGTTAAAATAAGAGAATTATTTTGCAGAAAAAGTCTAGAAATAAAACTACGTTTGCAGACATCAACTCTACAAAAGGGGACACTAAAGGTACTGTAGGGAAGGAACGAAGGTTTCTAGAATTAACATGCAAAACAAACAGATGTATAAGATCACAACTAAAATACGAATTAACACATTTATAGAGAAAAACCATATCGTGAAATAAAAATCTATTCCTAGGACACATTAATTTACAAGGGCGATTAAAACGTTTTTCAAAAAACCTAATAAACTTAAGATGCATCCTATTGATGCAAATTAACTGAGATTCGGAAGCAGAACTAATAATCTATCATAATTTACCTTTCTTCGGGCCTCCTCTTAAATGTGAGAACTTACGGTATACTATTGATTCTCATCGCTTTAAGTGGATTAAAATTCCAAAATTAAAAAAAATCCAAATACAGAAATTCATAATTCATCATCATCATCCACAAAGATGATGTGTTAGGAAACACAAGGCCGGGCACTGTGTTACCAATAGCAACGGCATGGTACGCATTAACCAGTAATTTCGCTAAGTAGATCTGCCTAACAATTTGAGAGTAAACAACCAATTAGCACCACCCTATTTTTCAATCTGATATGCCAAGCCAATTCTTAACTCAATATAATTATTCAATATAAACTTACCATACTGTAATTATTAAAGTTAATAAAAATATTTTCACCGAGATCAATTAACAATACTGTTACTTAATAAATATAATTATTTTAATTTCAATTTCCAAAAAATGAAAGTATTTAATAAAAATTACATCAAGAAAGAATTAGGAAATGAAAAAACAAGGAAAGAAAAGATAAGATAAAAATAAGATGTGAAAAAGCATAAGAATGGAAAAGGAAAGAAAAAAAATAAAGTAAATAAAAGAAAAATCAAGGAAACATAAGAAACAAAAGAAAAAGAAGAAAAAATAAGGAAACATTAGAAAAGGTATTCAAAAGCAAAATAAATAAAGATAAGGCAATATAAGAAAATGAAAAACAAAGAAAAGGAAATTATAAGGAAAAAGTATTAGATGAAAGAAAGAAAAGGTAGGTAGGTAAGTAGGAAGCACAGAAAGAAAAGTGAAAGAGAAGATAAGTTAAAATAGCAGAAGGTAGGAAGAGGATAGGAAACATACGGAAGCAAAAAAAAACAAACAAACAAAAACATGTGAAAGTGAAATACAGTAGTAGAAAGGTGGAGACAGAAAGTTTTCTTTCTTTCTTATTTGCATTATTTTTGAAACATAAATGTAATAAAATAAGCAGTTAAATTATATTAGGACTAACATTGTCTTTACTCTAGGGTTCCCATGTTTTTCACAGTTGAAACTTGTAAACAACTCTGATAGTCAATGACAACCACTTGTTCCGTTGATTTCAGAAATTTATTATTATTATTATTATTATTATAAACAATGATGAAACAAATTATATATTTTCTTAAAATCTTCTGGGCCAACTTCATATATCAAACATTTTGAGCCAAATAACTTATACCAAATTAAGGGTTAACCACAGGTCATGTGCAAGATTAAATCATATTCTGAAATAAATAATAAGCTAAAAAACTTTTAAAATAAATCCTATGTGATCCCAACTCATCAAAACAAAAAAGGGAAACAGTTTTTTGGGCATAATATATTACAACTTAAAGTGCCCTAAATTGTCCCACTCTGGGCCTCACTATGTTTTTCTCCCTGCTGGCCACCAAAAATTGTCAGACCTTCTATTGCACAGCATAGCCACCCCTCTCCATCAATGTTTAGAGCAAATCATTGATTTTACCAGACTATTCCTTTAACATGCACTTTACAATAGAAAAAAAAAATCAACAAGTTCTAGATATCATTCTGCTGGTCTATTTGAAAAAAAATTATAATTAATCTGTCCATAGTTCAATATGAATCACAACAACACAACAAACCTCGTCGTCGCCAAGCACCAACCAATAACAGAACAATCAAGGCAAAAAAAAAAAAAAAAAACCAACAAATTTTAATCAATATACTGACTAGGTAAATCATATCCATCATTTTATACACGCGATCCAAACATAAAAGCTAACAGCAAAATAATTCTGATTACAGAGTGCAGATGGACCTGATGGGACTGGCAGTGCTTGCCCATAGTGAGGATGTGCCTATATATGGTCATGACATGATGTTCTAATGACCATATTTAGGCTTGAGACATGTTTTTATCAAATAATATTTGATAGTCTGGACATCGCTTCAAATCGTGAATAAATTATATTTCAAAATTTAGATAATGAGTTTAACCTGTGTTGTAAACAATATTTGCTATGACGTTATTTAGACACCAATGGCCACATTCATGATTATCAATAATTTGATGAGATTTTTGTATGCTTTAACAAATGAAAAAGTTTAATAAAATTGCAACAAGACAAGGCAAGACAACAGAGAAATTTATTTACTGTTTTATAAAATGATTTTTTCTTGTTTGTCTTCTCCTTTTAAAAATGTTTGGTGCACATGAAGTTTCAAAAATGGTTGTCAATTTTATGTTATATGTACAGGTGTACAAGTATATTTTTAAGACTTATATAATTCAATTGAAAAGATAAAAAATGCTATTTTTCTACCAATGAATGTTGAGCAAAGAATCTTAATATTTTATTATTATTATTATTTTTTTATTTAAATTACTTTTATATTTAAGTTATTTTAACTGGAAATTACATTGAGAAAATATTTTCCTAGTGAATCATCAATAGGATTTATAAGGCAAGAATTTTTTTTATAAACTTGTTTAGCGAACCCGCCGATAGCAAATATCAATGATTTCGAATAAAAATATAATTTTGTTTTTAGCCAACTAGTGCACGAAAAAGTGGAAAGTTCAGGAAAAATTTTTTCTTTATTTTTATTACGCCCTCCGCTGCTTTGGAATCTCCAAAGATAAAATATATATATTTCTTCCTAATTATATAAATTTGAAGCATTTAACCATCCTATTTTACATTCACCAATAAAATGTTATATTTATTGTCTCCTCCGTCTGGATGATTTTGGCAAAACTATTTGCTAAATAAGGAAACAAAATTTTATGTTTATTTCGCCCTCCTCCGATGATCTTTAAAAAAATAAGTTCGCGAAACAAGGAATAAAAAAAGTCTCGCCTAAATAACACATTTCCTATCCTACAGACTCTTTAAGTTTGCGTTAATGATTTTCATAGTCAAATGTCTCTAAATTGGCAAAAATAAGTTGTTTTGATCAGTGCCTCATTGAGAGATAACACATTTAATCCTTTCAAATAAGCAATTTAATTTTTAAATAAAATAATTTTTTTCCCACTATATTTTATAACAGACATCTTTAATCACGAATGCTAGAAATACATTACAGAATATAATTAATTGTTTTGAGAATTATATGGCATCTCCATTGGGAAAAATTGCAAATATTCTGAGTGAAGTGAATTCTGAAACCATCGTCATTATGATTCCCCCATTACCTGGACACTATGTTCAGGAAACTGGAAATATCAAGCTAATGGGTTGGAAATAAGCAGTCGCTTATCAATAAGGATGTTTTTCGGTTTTAGCAGGCCAAGCGTGGCTCCAGCAGCCCGACTTGAAGAGGATAACAGAGTCCACAACCATTACAAATACTCCAACGTGATAAAAAACAATATCTGATGACAGTACAATGTTCTACACAAATATGTTTTACATAAACATCTGCACATAGACAGCTGGGTATATTCACATTCAATAAATGGATTTCTTTTTTTTCCTATTTTGATTTAACAAAAATATTTCCCTTCAAGCGTTGTTGTTTTTGGTTCAACTGATCATTAAAAAAAAAATACAATTCGTAACAGATTGTTCTCAATCCATCATGATTTCAACTAAGTAGGAAGAATGTAGTAGTGAAGAGTGGCATGTTTTTTGACACAAGGAAAAAAGATCGTAGTTTAAATCCAACAAAATATATGTTCTTATTTTAATATATTGTTCAAATATTGAGTTGTCACCACTAAAATAAATTATTTTGCAAACATGAGGAAGATGTGGGATGTACATACATCCCTACAAAATGTTTGTGTCCTCCTCCCCCCCTCCCTATCCTACAAACATGCTAATTACAAAAATAGCCCTTACTACAGAGTGAAAAATAACCTCATTCTTTATCTATCACTGCAGTCCACAAACTTTCCCATTGTTCTTATCACAGTGCACGGTAGTAGATCCGAGGGACGCTACCGGAGCCCAGTATACTGCCTAACGGCGTGCCTGCTTGCACCCAGGTGTGACAGCGATGTTGTTTTCTACATTGGTGACTGGAGCCCTGTTCTGGATACTGTACTTACAGTATACCGACAGAGCACATGCATTTCGGAAATATTTTCATAGCTTAAAAATACTGTAGATTTAGTCAGAATTATTTACTGCTTGTTTTTCTTGTACAGTTAAAGCGCAATGAGGATTTTTTGTGAAATGCGCTATAGAAGAATTTACATATTATTATTATCATCAGCCTGTCGTCATCACTCCTAGATATTACACTGCTATAAAGTACAATTTTTTTTTTTCAACTTGCTACATTCGTCACTGGTGGTGATCATAATATTCAACATCATTATCATTCCTATCTCCATCATCCTTTACTTTCTCATTCTCTTTGTTCTCATTTTATCATTTTCATCACCATTAACTCCAACATCCAACCATATCCATCACTTTTTTATATCTTCCGTTTTACAATTTTTTGTCACTATAAGGTTCATCATCTAACACCACTATAGGGCGAAATAGTATAGCAGTAAAGGGGACTCACAGATGGATACGGATGATTTTCAAGACCAGCCAATACCATACATGCTTGTGTCCTTCGATAATACATCTTTCCGGGGTGTCAATCAAAATTAAATGAGCAATCAAAAAAGATCTAGGAATATGCACGTGTCCAAAAAACACAAGTGGGACCTTAGCAACAATATCCAAGGGGCGTGGCTTAGCGGAAAGGATTCATTTAGGCACGGTGCTCTTCACCCATCGGATGGGAAGTGAAGCTGTTGGTCCTGAATGTATAACAGCACATGCACATAAATAGAACCCCATACACTCTATGCAGAAAAATAGGAAATTCTTTCCTAGTGCACAGACCATGGTAGGGAGCTGCACTGTGGCAGCTGTGGGTCCCTTCCCCAGGGGCCTAATCAAAATTTCAACAAAACCTCCTTTCAAGATACAAGATTCTTATATTGTCACTTTGTAGCAAATCTTATAAGTAAAATTCATGTTCCATCGCTACCCATATAAGCATCAGTGTTACTATTACATTTTTGGTGTTTATAAGCTCTAGTACATTATATTAATAAATTAAGAATTATAAATATGTTTTCAGATATAGCACTTGACACAAAGTCTTCTTCAACACTTACTTGCATACTCTTTTCTTGTGGTTTTCTCAGTAGCTTGAACAACCTAAAAGAAAAGGGCAACAACAATAATAATTATTAATTTAATACCCAAATAAAATCAATATTACTATCATAACAAACATAATAAATTTCAATTCCAACTGATATAATTAAAATAATAATATAAAAAATTAATTTCCTGAAATAATTAAATGCAAATTCTAACACTTGCTATTTGAATATTTTAGGTGGGCTACAGTATATAAAATAATCACCTTAATCTTATAAGTGATCACTTGGAGGGAAGATTTTAAAGCCCTTTCCAAACTATTAAATTTTATGTGACAAATGTGTGGTGACATGACCAAATATGGGCATATCACACTTAATTGTCACACAAAATTGAATAGTTTGGAAGGAGTTTTAGCTTCTGTGGATAGATAGTGTACACATTAATACAGTCATCAAACTGATGTTGAAGTTTCCAACTGAAAGTCGTTTCCAGACTATCAAATTTTGTTCGACATTCTTTAAATATGGTGATGATGACATCACATCATGACCATATATAGAAAAATCATGACTATGAGGCATACAACAGGTTTTTTTTGTCAAAGAAAAATTAATAATCTTCACAGAATTTTAGATGCATCATCTAGTTAGCTTACATTATATCTTCCCCAACATTTTTTTTTTACATCGGTGCCACGCCTAAATCTTAAGCGCCGCAATAACATAAGGTGATTTCCACCAGGATTTCTGTTATCCTCTTTGAGCAACCCACCCTTGGCCTAGTATTCAGTTAACTCCTTGATAGTAAGCGTTAAAAGTTCAAATATAAAAAAAAACGGAATTTTTCGAAATGCACATCCAATGAACGTTGGATTTGAATCAGAGCCATTTATGGAATTTCATACCATGCACACCCAAGGAACGTTGAATTTGAATCAGAGCCATATATGGAATTTCATACCATAATGCAAGATGTATTTTGCATCATTAGCCTGTCAATAATAAGGTATAGATTGTCAATTAATACAAATTGGCACCTGATAGGTAGACATGGCCTTCCTGAAAAAACACATCCACAAGAAATGCTACTATCACTTACAACTAATAAGTAGTAAAGACAGAAACATAGGACAGAGATATCGTATTTCATTTTTGTTTGAACAAAAATTGGAATTTAACAAATAGGAATTTAATTGAATAATGTTAAAAAGAATAAAAGTTCTAGTATCAGGATTTGAATCTGAGGCTGACATTTATCTAAGTGTTTTTATGTAAGACAAAAATATAAATTCAAAAAAAATAACATTGATGAAGCCAGATGAAAGTTTTAAAGGATACACCAACTTTCTGTAAGAACCAATAAAATTTTGCCCAGGTTCAGTGTTCTTATTTTTTTGTCAATTTTCATGATAAAATGTTATTTCATTCTTATTTTATAATTTACACACTTTTCAAACAAAAATAGAAAATTGTTATTGTACAGCATTATATTTATGTAGTATAGGGTATAGTCACACCTACTGCACATACGTAGATAGATTTGTTGGATTTTCTATTTTTTTTAAATAAAAACCTAACTGGCTTTCAACCTCAATTTGTTTTTATTTTTCATGTGATTTCAGCCTCAGTGTTCTTATAAAAAAAAAAATGTAGTCAGTAGCCGATCGAATGCGCCGGCCGCCGGCTCTTAAATAAACCCCTGAGTCACAATGAAAAAGAATATATAGTACTGTAATTTGGGTGTTTTTTAAAAACTAGATTATACGGTGTGTGACATTTAAACCCAGTGTGGCTTATTTCTCACACCCTTTGAAATGAATTTACTTGTGCAATGGTGTGGAAGTACTGATTGCTTATGAAACTCAACAAGAAGCCAAAGTAGACTTGTTAACAATATGAAAATATGCGATGTACTGCTATATAGACTTTAGGGAGTGTTTTTAATCATGAAAAAATTATTAATTAAAAACAGGTCTAAAAAGTATTCTCACAAATAAATTAGCACATAATAATTTAACATTCACTATATCATTTCCTTGTATAATCTATAAAAACTGTACTGTGATTACAACATATTTTGTTATATTTATATTTATTTCTTGTATTTATTAATTTTTTTAAAAATTAAAGCAGCAAGTCAACAATGTTAATTTTGAGTTTGAGGGTTTTCAGATTTCATCAGAGAGTATGGTATTTACGCAGTTATTAAATTGTTTTAGTGTTAATCCTTATTTTAGATAAATAAAATTTATTATCTTTTATTTCAAACAATAACTATATCTTAATTAAAACCTCATAGAAATATTGCAAATACATTTCCCTGCATTTTTGCAGAGGATCAATACATTTCATTACAAACTTTATTGAAGTAATAATTATTAAATTTTAAGCCAGGACTTATCGTAAAGCTTACAAAATACCTCATTCAATCGATGGAAATCTTGTTTAATATAACATTTTCTACTTAGCTTTAAGGAGCTTAATTCCAATTTCATTTAAAGTTCAAAACACAAGCACGATCAATAACACTGGCTCTTATGTTTTCAATATCATAAATCACAGAAAAACGTCAAACAGATCTTATTTACATACGGTAATTCTTTACCGCGAGGACGACGATTAGGTCAGGGTTTTATTTTCATCTTTATGGGCGCTTGATCGTCATCAAATTTCACAGCTAATTATCATTCATGGGAACGTTTGGATGATCAACATCCTTTGAACGGTATTACTTATTTATTAGCCAACTAGCTTAAGGCTCCAGATCAATAGCATTACATTTCACTAATGTCTATTGATTCTTGTTAGTATCAAATTTTGTTTTGTTTTCAGCATCGCAAATGTTCTCTCATGCTGTTAAATCTGAATGGGTTGTTCTATTATTTTTGAAGGGGATTCACTCTTAGCTTAAAGTCAGTATATTCAGGTAGAATTCATGTGTGGGATTGGAGAGGGACATCAGAGGCTGCACCCCAGTGGCCTATCGAAGGAATACAAGGTTTGGTAGGTAGCCTTAGGATTGAAGATCATAGCATTTTGGGAAGGCTTATGACTGGAGAGAGACCAGACATCTCAGGAGGCCTAGAACTAGAGAATTGAGTCGACTCTTCGGCATCGTGGAAACAATTGAGAGACTAGAAAAACATGGCATTTTTGTGGACCTCAGGACTGAAAAAAAAAAATAATAAATTCGGAAATTCGTAGACTAGAAAAAAGAGTATCACATGCCTTTTAGGTTTGTAGCTGTAGAAAACTAAGGATGGATGGTAGACATTTTATTATGGGTGGTGAGTGATAACATCAGTAAACTCTAAATAATGGGTAGATTTTAGTGATGGGCAAGGAGGTTAATAAAATTGGGTGGAGGACCATGAAATTACCTTTAGACTGGGTGGGAAACATAAAAACTGGGTAGCCCCGCCCATTATCACTAAATCCCTGCCTTAGAACAAAAGAATGAATGTAGTATCCCAGCCATTCACAGGACTAGAAAGGGAGCATGCATGACAAGCTCAGCAATATCCTTAACTATTCCATTTTCAAACCTTTTTTAAGACGCATACTGCTCCTCTAGGCGAGAATTTTTTTATAAAATGGAAATTTCCAAAACAAATTAAAATTTTTCTTCTTTATTATCATTATGCCTGATACTGCTTTAAAATCTCCAAAAAGATATGTATATTTCTTCCTAATTATATAACTTAAAGCATTTAAACATACCATTACTACACTATTTAAATTCGACAATAAACTTTTATAATTATTTTCTCCTCTGCCTAGATATTTTTGGGAAAACCGTTTGCTAAATAAGAAAACTATATTTTATTTTTATTTTTCTTCCGCCCTCTTCTGACGATCTTTCAACAAATAAGCTCACCTAAAAAGGTATAAAAAAAAGTCCGGCGTTAACAAACAAAAATAAGCAAAACTTACCTCTGAATATGATCCTTCACCAAGAATCTTTCCAAACTCAAAATCAGAACGTTGTTTCTTTGGGGGTTGAACCCTCTGCTGCGACGCATCTGGTTGCGGTGCCATTGAGCTTTCTTCTTTTTGTGGCTTGCTTCCTACCTGCAAGAGCAATGACATTCCAATCATGAGCACGTCTATTTCTACAAAAATATTATCAGACAACAACATTCAATTTATTCACCTAAAAAAAACAAAAAAAAACAAAAACAAACCGCTAGAACAACAGCAATTAGCTACAAACTTAAAACATACGCTTCGGTGAAAAAGCATCTTGTCTAGTTGTTCACAATATCAATTTTACGAGCATGGCTTGAAATTGCCTATCTCTCTTGGGGCCTTAGAATATTTATTGTTGCGACAGTCATACATTGTACAACAATTCCTAATCAATATTATTTCAAACACGTAATTTGGTAACAAACAAGTGTCAAATTTTAATGAATAATCTTCAACTAACGACATTATTTATTAATTTATTATCAACGTAGGCTATCACCTTTGTTGTCAGCAATTAATTGAAACTCTCTGCACCAATTCATACTCAAAATAAAATAGAGAAAATTGGAGGTCTAACACTGAAAAATGTACAAAAATACAAGTTTACTATAATTACTTTTATAGCCTTCTTTAAAATATATAAGAAAGGATCATCTAAATGAAACAATGGGCTGTGTTAAATTGTAGGATTGTTTGTTTTGATTATTTGTGAACCACCCAAATCACTCAAATGTGTGTGTATTTTACTAAAGGTACATTATGCTACAATACCAGACAAACACACTGAAAAAGCACCTAGAGAAAATTCTTATAATTAACATACCGTATACATTTAATTATTTACATATATCTTTTAATCAAATCTTTGGTAGATGTAATGTATCTTTTATAGATGTAATTAAAAGAAGATTGGAAGGGAAGAGAAGGGATAGAAGAAGGGATTATTGGATGATATACTGCAGTAAAGAGAAAGGCAAAAGCTCGCACTGAATGGAGGAAACTATAAACAACTAACTCGTACTCATTCTGCTGCAATAAGAAGAATATCGACGACAATGACAATGAAGATGATCTTTTAATTAATTTAAATTATACACAGATAAATTACAAAACTACTTTGTGAGCAAATAATAATTAAGATTATTAAGAATCAAGAGCATGACAATATTTTTGGATTAACATACCTTAAGCTTTCTGAAAACCAGTGTCAGCATGCTAGGCATATTGTAAACATATAGTAAAATGCTAAAAAATCAGGAGATTTACTTAGTATGCTCAGCTATCAATTAATCCAGTTCATGGACTACCAAAGTACTTTGACAAAAATAGATAATAACTTGTCTAGCTCTATGGATAAACAAGATGATTCCATTTACACAACAGGGGTCGAGTACCATTCATAACAATCTATAACAATAACATCATTATAATATAAATGGTATAGTCCACTCAGGAGATGATTAAAATCAATCTCATTAAACTAGTTTTTTATAACCTTTTACGATGAAATCGTTAAAAGTTATTGCACGCTTAGATTACAGTGTTACGTACATTTATTAATGGAGGATTCTGGTCGGATTGTTTCTGATTACTTGTGTTCAGTGTGGCTAGGATCCTTCTAGTGAGGGATAGCCTAATATCAACAAAGGACAAGGGCCCTTCTTGCAATTGCTAAACAAAACCAGCTTAGATTAGGCTTAATTGCTAGGGCCATCCTAACGATGAGTCTTAAGGACTAACAATATCTGTGCAAGTTTGCTATGCAAGATCTGGTCTTAATCAAGGATAGCATTTAAGTGTTAATAACTCCTACGGGAAATAATCTTGTTTACAAGCTGGTGTACCTCAGTACTATAAATGTTTATGAAGAGCACTGAAAATAATATATTATCAACAAACTCTATCCTATTTCAGTAGTTAAACTTTATTCTACTTCAGATTTTTAAAAAATAGAGAAAAAATATGATTATATAAATCATAATACCATCATATTTCTAAGTCTCTAAACTAAATTGTACACTATATGTTATCAACAAACATAATCCTACTTTAGTAATTAAACTTTATTAAAGTTTACATAAAAAAATAGAGAAAAAATATGATTATATAAATCATAATAACATCATATTTCTAAGTCTCAAACTAAATTGTACACTATATATTATCAACAAACATAATATAATCCTACTTTAGTAATTAAACTTTATTCTACTTACATAACAAAATAGAGAAAAAATATGATTATATAAATCATAATATCATCATATTAAAGTCTCTGAAACTAAATTGTTTCCTTTAATTTGGAAATATACATACAGTACATGTTGCATTGTATTTACTAAATTTTTAATTTTATTATTTTCTTTCAGTATTTTATTTTACTTATTACAAAGTTTTGGCAGAAAGTAAAATACAATATAAAATTCCCTCCAAAGAGAACCAAAAGTAAACTACTATCATCAGGCAATTTCTAATATCCATTGTACATACAGTAAATACTTTAAAATACCCTCTCTGCATTTTTCTTGGAACTCATTTTTAGCTTATCTTGTTAATAATCAAAGATACAGTACGACATTCAACGTTTTTTTTTCACTAGCTCGTTTTTCTCACAAAGAAAAAATACTCGATGTTTCGTAAACAACAGGCTAATCTTAGATTACGGTACCATGGCAACAGTTTTACACCTGCAGAAAAGTAGACCAATGAAAATGTTCATTGCATGTTGTTTGTTCAAAACAATTAAATTCTCATCTGTATGTTATAGATTACTGTACTTAACAAAGTGTGTACTTTATATCTGATCTTGTATTTGCAAAACAACACCAAAGAAGCATCTGGAATGTAGCTGTCATCATATTTTAGGTCATCAACTGATGTCTCACTGTTAACATATTTAGGTCAACAGCCAAAATTGACTTGGTGCAAACATTTTTAGTCAACAGCTACACCAGACTGTATAGTAAAGCCACATCTACACTAGACACGATTATGACACGACGACACGATACAGATGCGTGTTGAAGAATACAAATTAAGCGACGATATGTCTAGGGTAAAACTAACTTAAGGCTTGCACAGGGAATACATCCTCCGCGCAAATATTAGGCCTAGAAATCCATCCGTGCATTTTGAAAAAGCGCTGAGTTCTGTGCAAATTTTGCTTTGACCTACAGTAATCTTAAATGTACCAATGCAGTAGTTACGATTTTGTGCACCAAATTTAAGTTAGTTTTTGAGGTATCATCCCCACAAATTAAAAAACTTTACAAAATGGCATCTATAGTAAAACATTACCCTTTAACAAGAAATCTTTTTATTCCTTGTTTTTCAAATCCACTGCCTGCCAGTAAATTGATTTCAACTGAACAATTTTATTTTGAGTCTGTTCGTGCAGCTCCCACTATGAAATATGTTGATTTCAAAAATACAATATTATTTATTTTATCAAAGTGCCACCAACTGAATCTCCAAATAAGAAATCTATGTTCCTTCATAACTAAATACATAAAGCATACGATAGCGATCATTTATATATACTATCCTGCGTTTTGGAACAAAACTCTTTTTAAACGTTCGTAATTAGGTCTATGTGCTTACTGTAACCGTTTCTGCTGTATTGGCACAAACCCACCAGTGGAGAGAAGCAATTGAGTGACTTGCTCAGACAAAAGCCAAATACACAGCAAGGGACGGAAACCCCAGCCTCGTGAATGAGGACCAATTGCTGCTGCACCAATTCATTCACCAAACTGTTGGCATCACAATATTACATTTTTCACAATAAGGGGCGCTCTCAATCACAATTCGGTAGGACCTACAGTACAATGCAATGCAACAATGAGAGTTCTCGTTGCTGCCTGGATTCTAGGACTAAGTTGGGCCCGAATCTGCATTAAGTAGTGTTATGAGTCTTTCCAAGCTCCTAATTACTGTAAGGGTACCCCTATTAATTTTTGACCTCACATTCTCCTTCGCTCAGTTTCTTTTGGAAGAACCATTTTACTTTGATGTCGATTTGCATCAGGAAAATATCACAGGAGTGATGTTTTGCCCTACCTGACGTGTTATCATACCAAATACTAAGTACATCCCCAATATACTTGTGGAAAAACCATTTGCTATTAAAAGTGATAACAAAAAAAAGTTTTAATGTTGCTACACTCCTTTGACAATTTTCAAAACTAAAGTTCACTAAACCACAAGGTACAGAAAGTCTCACTCAACAGCTAAAGATAGAGAACACATTTTTAGTAAACAGCTAATTATTATAACACTAAACTCACTGTAAACACAATTTTGGTCACAGCTAATAATGACTCGCTGTCAACATATTTTGGGTCAACAGTAAATAATGACCTGATAAAACGAGTATCCTTTACACAACAACATCAATCAAGTAGGAATTGTCAACATAATTAAAAGCCTCCAAAGGAGCATACTCATCAATAATTTGAATAACAATCTCAACTACTATATACTGTACAATGCATGTAATGATTTAATACTCGAATAAGTACTTTTTAGTCAATTTAATTAATAATGTTTAATTTGGTCTGAAGTAGTTTGTTTTCAATAAATATGACAATTAATTAGTTTGTTTAATCTGAGAACAAATATACCAGCCATTAGTTTGCATCATCTAATCTAATCCGTTTTGTTGTTATAAATCTGCGCTCTTAAATCGAACACTGCAGATATTAGTCTTAGCATCATTCATTCCTTAATTTGCTTTAAAGTATATTTATAGAATTAACCAAATTTTTATCATTGGTAAGTGGTGGGGGGGTGTCCGGGGGTCGAACAAGTCTGGCAGAGGGGTCCATACCGAGGGGCTTCCTAAAACCTATTTTTAGGTTCCTTGGTTAGTTAGGATTGATTTTGTTTTATGGTTGTTTCACCATTTTGTAACTTGCAGCGCATAGAGACCACGCAGTATTCGCTACCATTCCCCAACCATTATCATTACCATTGATGGGAGAGTATAGTATTCCTAGGTAAACGCAAATGCATTACAATTTTTCTTAACAGTATTTTTGATATTCTGTGTTTTCCAAAGACAGGTGAACAATGAAGTTAACATTCACTTTCACCTTTGCTTAAGAACCAAAAATTATTGAACCCAATTGATTAGATTATAGAACCACATGATACAAGAGCTCCTACAGAGCTTATTAAATAATAATAATAAAAAAAAATTGATGTAAACAATGACTAAGGCTCACTGTATAGGTTTTAATGGATGGCATTTTATTTAATGAACACAAGTATGCAACTTTCATTTCACTTCTAAGCTTATTCAAGATGATATGTTAGGGTAAACTTTGTAACTTGCAACGCATAGAGACCACGCAGTATTCGCTACCATTCCCCAACCATTATCATTACCATTGATGGGAGAGTATAGTATTCCCAGGTTAAATGCAAATGCATTACAATTTTTCTTAACAGTATTTTTGATATTCTGTGTTTTCCAAAGACAGGTGAACAATGAAGTTAACATTCACTTTCACCTTTGCTTAAGAACCAAAAATTATTGAACCCAATTGATTAGATTATAGAACCACATGATACAAGAGCTCCTACAGAGCTTATTAAATAATAATAATAAAAAAAAATTGATGTAAACAATGACTAAGGCTCACTGTATAGGTTTTAATGGATGGCATGTTACTTAATGAACACAAGTATGCAACTTTCATTTCACTTCTAAGCTTATTCAAAATGATATGTTAGGGTAAACAAGTTTAACTTATGAGGAAATTGAGATACTGTAATGTATCATTGTTTACAGAATTTAAGTACGTCATTTTTTTTGTAATTATGTAAGTAATTATGTAAGACACATATTTAAAGGTTGTAAGAAATCAGTTGCTAAAACAACAAAGTTGTTACAAGACAGGTAAAATGTTATGTGTGGCACTGTGGAAGAACAAACAAAAATACTGTTTTCTCAAAAGCATAAAATGCTGGGAAATCCATTACTATTTACCCAGCATTTTTTGTCACTTCTGGTCGGAGTAATGTCGCTACCGTTTGGTGACTAATGACAATCAATCAATCAATCAATCAAATGCATTTATATAGTGCTGGTATTCATTAATAATGTTCAAAGGCGCTCGACAAAGTTAAATTTGAAATGCTTCCGTGCTTCCGAGAACATGTAGGTCTTCAGACGTTTTTTGAAAATGTTGACGCTTTGTAAAGCTTTGCTTTGTGACAAGTCTTGTATGTGCTTAAAACCACAGATTATGAAAATACAAATGTGCTCTTTTCTGTACTCAATAAAATTAATCAATAGGGCTGTAATAAAGAATCGATAACAAAGTGGC